ACTCACAATGACCGTTTATAGGGTTTATGAAGAGCGGCTGGTGAGTTTAAACCTCCAACCTACAAAAGGACTGAACTGAAAACTGATTGCTCTATAAGGCTTCACTAACTTCACAATAAAAAGTTAGAGAATAAAAAAAAAAGAAAGAAAGAGCATACATAATTGCAGAGAAATGCACCCAGCATTCTTAGCCATCCATCTCAATTTTCAAGCATTAATATGGACAACCTAGACACAACATATGTTGGAGAAAATTCATTAATGTGAAGGAGAAGTCACAAGATAAACAAGAGACTAATCCTGGAGAAACAAATCATTCAATAAAGAGAAGAAATACTTTTAAAATACATATACTGTAATATCTTCAGTAAGATATATTATAACATTGCATCCATAATAAAAAACGATCTGGACTCCTGGCATGGTAGATCACCACGGGACTGTGAACCACAAAGTCGGCAGCTGAAACCTACCAACTGCTCCAGGGTTGCTATGAGTCAGAGCCAACTTGAAGGCACTAACCAACATCAACAGAAAGTGATGGATGTGGAGAGGAAACTTTCAGAGAATAATAAATAATTCTTGGAAATAAATTTTTTTTATATCTTAATAAATTCTCTGTTATGCTAGGTGATACAACAGACATGGCTAAATACAAAATATGTGATTAGGAAACTAATTTTTCTGAAGTGAAACCTGAATCTTCAGATTGTACAGTTCCGGTAAGGACTTGAATTGTTGTTGTTAGGTGCTGGCGAGTCAGTTCTGACTTGGAGCAACCCCATATAGGGTTTGCAAGAGTGAGCGGCTCGTGAGCTTGAACTGCTAGTCTTGTGGTTCAAATCAACCTTGCAGTCCAGCACATTAACCTGCAGCGCCACACCAGGACTCCAAGTGCTGAACAGGAGGGAGTTAAACACACATCCACACATGTGCACACATATATCTGAACATGAAAATAAAACAAAATGTGGTTAAAAAAAAACATCTGCAGTGTAATCTTAACTACATCCATCCTTATAGAGAGTGGGGTACTTTCACCATAATTGTTGGGTTTTAATTAATAAAAACTTGTACAGTGACAAACAAACAAACAAAAAACTGCCCCATGAACAAAAGTAGCATTAAAAAAGCACATATATCAAGAGGGAGCCTAGCTCCAGATGGGGAAGGGGTAGACAGAACTTCAACTGAATGATTTCCAATCTGTTGGGACTGGGCTGGCAAAAGGAAATGGGGATAAGACTCTTCTGGTACAACAGTGAATAATTCCCATCAGGACTGACTGTGAGGGTCGGAAATGTAGAGGTAGATTCTTTTGACAAAAGGAGGGGAGTGATTGATTTTGCAGCCCAAGAACAGAGATCCCTGGGACCATAAAGTAAGAAGAGCAGAGAACATGACCCTACCCAGAGAGGCAGTAAAGCCAGGCATGGAGACAAAGATGATGACGTGGACAGATGGAGTGGCTGGCGACGTGGGACTCAGGGAAGGAGAGGGGCTGTTTGCTGACAGCCAGGGGGGTGGGCCTGTGGGGTGTATCATTTGGTTATTTGATGATGCCTGGAAGGGATTGTAATCATTGCAATGAAATGAAAAATGATAGGATAAATGTGAAGCTGACGTGGGACAGAGGTAAATAATGATGTATGCACAACCTTGGGACAACAGGGCTCTGGGATACAGGGATTGAGACATAGTTGGAATGGACAAAAGGGGGGAAATAATGTTAAGATGCTTGGATGTCTTTTGAATCTTGGCTTCCCTGACATACTATTATAAAATAGACACTTGAGGGGGAGAGAAAGGAATAGCCAGAAATATCATGATAGAAATATTGTAAATCTGTCTTCTGCCTATAACTGATTGGAATACCTAAAATGGGGCTACAACTTGCCCAGGGAAGGAGGCTTCCTGTGGAGCCTCTGCATTATATAAGACCATAGGTGGAATCCTGAACAGCATCCAAAATCTTCTGAGCTAGAAAATCTCCATTTGAAAGGACAACAGACCAGCCTGGAGCAGCTAGATCAGAAGATACTTCTTGAAAGAAAGACCCCAACAGGAAAAATACAAAACAATATAGGCAGACTGACTGATTATTACAAGAACAAGCAAGGTGCTTGCCCAGGAGACATCAAGGCAAGTGGTTGGTCCCCTCAGGGCAGACCTCCTTCTAAGACTAAATGGGAATACATGCTCTGATTGGTGACCACGTTCGTCACCGACAAGGGAAAGTGAGGGAAAAACAGCAATGAAGCTGCAAGCTAAGCCCTACAATGTTCAATAGACTCCTGTGAACCCAGGTGGAGACCTGGTTGGCCAGCAGTGTGGCAAGCCCTGGGGATTCCTGGGCCCAGGGTCAGTGACATAGCCACAGAGGACAAGAGTGGAGAGTGAAGCGTCTAGCTTATAAGAACAGAGGGCATATGCATAAGAACATCCACACTTGCAGATAATACCCACTTGACCTGGCTTCAGTGACTGGATAATCAGAGCTCAACTAGAAGAAAGAAGAGGGGGAAAAAAGAATTTGATGAACTTGATCTACACTTATGGATGCAGTAGCTCAAAAAAGGGAACAAATCTTTACAGCAAGGATCTTTCCCACCCCCTCCATACACAGAGTAGACAGGAATGGGCAACTTGGACATTGGCTACCAAAAAGGGGTGAGGGGTGGGGGCTACAAAGGCAAGAAGTGACTGGCTTACAAGCTTTCAAGAGGGAACCTAGATCCAGAGGGCCTGGAGGAAGGTAGAATCTCCACTGAGGATTATCCAATCTGTCTAGTCGGGGCTGATGAAAGGAGATGTTGATGGGTATCTTGTGATACAATAGAGAATAATTGTTATTAGGACTAAGTGTGAGGGTTGGGAATGTAAAGTTACCCATTTTGTAGCAAGGAGGGGAGTAATTAACTTTGCAGTCTAGGAGGGAAGGTCCCTGGGACCACCAAGGGAGAAAAGCTGAGAGCAAAACCCTACCCAGAGAAGCAGTGATGCCAGAGATGGAGGCAGAGACGATGATGGAGAGATGGAGCAGCTGGGGACTTTAGACCCAGAGAGAGAGAGGGGCTGTGTACTGATGGCCGGAGGTGGCTTGCAGGGTGTACCCTTTGGTTGGTTGATGATGCATGGAGGAGATTGTAACCATGGCAAGAAAATGATATATGATAGGAGGAATGTAAAGTAATGTTCTCCCATGTAAACTATCACATAATTCACAATAAAACATTAAAAAATAATAAAATTGGTTTAAGCAGCAGGAGCCCATCTAAGAACGGCAGAGTGGTGCAGTGGAAGTATGGTAGTAGCTGGCTGTGTGCCGTGGAGTCAGTTCTGACTCATAGCGACCCTGTAGAGGGTTTCTGAGGCTGTAAATCTTTACAGGAGCAGAATGCCTCATCTTTCTCCCATGGAACAGCTGGTAGTTTCAAACTGCTGACCTTGCGGTTCACAGCCCGATTCATAACCACTACACTACCAGAGCTCCTCTGGTATGCTGAGCCCATAATCCAGTGGCTAGCATCTTCGGCTAACACTTTTGGATTCCTGGTGTGGTGTTGCAGGGTAGGAACTGTACTGCTAACCACAGGGTCAGTGGTTCAAATAAACCAGCTGCTCCTTGGAAACCCTTCAAAGGGTTGATAAGAGTCAGAACCAAATCAATAGCACTTAACAATAACCAATGTAAAAAAAGTATCACTGTACTTATAAGCATATTTAAAACATAGTTCTTAGTATTTTTAATCTAAAAATAAAATAAAAGCACACGCAAGTCTCAAATTAAGCTCAAGCAATTCTTGATGAATAATATAAACACACACTTGTGTGTATCAATCTAGAAATAAAATTCCAGATTATGCTAACACAAAAAGAGATAGGCAAGAAAAGTAGAGATAACTAGAAATATGACAAGTTTCTATAAGATTCTGAAAAATCCAAGTAATGACTAATTCTAAATGTTGATAGTGCATAAAAGAAAAAGCAAAGTACGAGAACATATATGCATGCAGGCATCGAGTCCTGGTATGGTGCTGTGGGATAAGTGCAGACAGTAAGGTCAATTTGAACCGCAAGGTTGGCTGTTCAAACTCACAAGCCACTCCTCAAAAACCCTGTACAGGGTTGCTATGAGTCGGAACTGTTAAGTCCGATGGCCCTTAACAACAACATACGCATGCATGTGAACGTATAAATGTAAGTGCATAGAAAAGGGTCTCGATAATACATAGAAATCCACTAGTAGTGATTACTTGGGCAGAAAATGTAGGGAAACTTGTACCTTGAAACTCATAAACTTAAAAATTTTGGTGACTTATATAATCTAAATATGATTATTTGAAATTACATGTAAACAATTAAAGCTAATGAATAAAAGGTAATGTAGAAAAATAAAGCTAAGATTATTTTTTTAAATGTGTTGTTAGGTGCCGTTGAGTCGATTCCAACTCATAGCAACCCTGTACAGGGTTTCCGAGGAGCAGCTGTTGAGCTTGAACCACCAGCCTTGCAGTTCAAACCAATTTTGCAGTCAAGTGCATTAATCTGCAGCGCCACACCAAGATTCCATTTTTTAAAATAAAGTCCCTCCATTATGCTTGCTCTCAATGTTGTTGGTATCAAGTGCCATTGAGTCAGTTTCTACTCACTGTGACCTGTATGGAGTTTCCAAGTCTTTAAATCTTTGCATGAGAAGAAAGTCCAGCTTTTTCCTATGGAAGTTTTTCCTATGGTGGGTTCAAACTGGCAACTTTGTGGTACTCAGTCCAGTGCTTATCATATGGAGCCACTATGCTCCCTACTTTAAGTGTATATAACAAGGCTATTTTCAGGAATGGGTAAACCTTGTACAAGTCATTTCTATTTGTTTTAAGATTGTTTAAATAAGTGAAAAACTATTACCTCTGACTTTTAAGAATCTTTTGTTCTCTTTTTCCCCACCCAACTCATTCACTCTTTTTCCCCATTCCCATCCAACTCATCCACTCTCCATTTAGGCCAGGAGACTTGATTACTGTTCTAGAGGATTCCAATGAAGACTGGTGGAAAGTAAGTTTTTATCTTGTAAAAATTTATTTGGAAAATTTAATTATAATAAATGCTACAACTGTGGATATGTGCCTCCTTTTCCTTTCAGGGGAAAATTCAAGACAGGACTGGCTTTTTCCCAGCCAATTTTGTTCAGAGAGTACAAGAAGATGAGAAGATTTTTAGATGTGTTAGAACCTTCATTGGATGTAAAGAACAGGGACAGATAACACTGAAAGAAAATCAGGTAAGTAAAGTAGACAAACTCGTATAAAATTTGTCCAGAATATCACAGTCATTTTAATAAATGTGAATTCACCTTGGGAAAAGATATACTTATTCCAATGATATTAGTGTACTAGAATCAAAACATGTAAAACCAAACTCTTAAGAAGCTCACTGGGTGGTTATTTGTTCACAGAAGGAATTATATATAACATCATAGTGGATCTGTGAGAACATCTGGCCCCAACTGGGTACCCCTTCTGAGTACTGCTGGTCTCTAATGTGGGGAGCTACTCTTATCTGGGATTTATACTCTTCTCCACCAACATGTGCCTAAGTCCTTCTTAGATCTTGGAAATACATTGCTGCGATTTCTACCTGTATTCCGTGGTTCACAGCATTTGTTTGCAGTTGCAAAGACTTTTCTCAGGTCTCCTTGTACTGTTCTGCTTGTTCACTGAAACCCATGACATCATCAGATGTAAGACATAGGGAACCAGGTCACTATCTCAGGCCCAAGCCCTGCACATCTCCTTATATCTAATCTATCTGGCACCATCTTGCTTCAGTGCCATGTGGAATGTGAAATTCTCTATGATGTCTGTTTTTGGAGGATCGAGAAAAGAACCCCCTACATCCATATGTCTTCAAGCTCCTTGTTTCATGCTCTTCTACCTTACCCCTGACTCGTTGACACAGACATTCGCAGAAATGGAACACTCACTATTCAGTCTTTGTCCTACTCTCCCTCTCTTTGTGATCTCCCAGCAGAGAGATTCTTCTCTGAATGAAACTGCCATCATTCCATATCCTTCATCATCACCGGACTGTGCAAAAGTAAAGTAAGATGCCCAGGCCAGTTTTCTCATGATATACATAGAAAAGATTTTAGAAATTGGTGACACATTTTCTCTCCCAATATAGTCTCACAATGGATTTCAACTTTCAATTTTGGAAGCCAAAACATGAATATTGTGTCTTTACCTGTCTACCTTGATGCTAGGATAATTCTAATACATCTCATGGCAGTGAATGCCTCTGGTTGAATTGGGTGTGTCTTACCCTATGAGGAATTACAAATTGAAAAATGTATTAATGTATTTAATATTATTCCTACTCAATAGAATTTCCCAAAGCACATCTTGAGTGACTCTTTTGGAGTTGCCTTCAAAGGTAGTTAGTTGGCTCCCAATGACTTATCACTTTCAAAAAAACAAATACACCTTCAAAGAATAAAGTTTTAACTTTATAACTATTCAGTTGGGCAATGAGTAAAGTAGACTGTAGAAGAATTGATCCATTTGAGTTATAGTGAGTGTTGGAAGAGAATATTAAAAGTACCATGGAATGCCAAAAGAACATACAAATTGGTGTCGGAAGAAGTACAGCCAGAGTGCTCCTCAGAAGCCAAGATGGAGAGACTTCGTCTCTTAGATTTCAGACATATTGTCAGAAGGGGTTAGTCCCAGGAGAAAGACATCATACTTGCTAGAGTGGAGGGTCAGTGAAAAAGAGAAAGCTCCCAGCGAGATGGATTGGCATTGTGACAGCAGCAATTAGCTCAAGCATAGCAACAACTATGAGGTTGGTGCAGAACTGTCAGCATTTCATACTGTTGTGCACAGGGTGTCTTTGAGTCAGTACCAACTTGACAACCCCTAACAACAATAATAGAATAGTGGTTACGAGTCAAGCTACTAACCTCAAGGTCAGCAGTTCAAAACTACCAGTGGTTTCGCGGGAGAAAGTTGAAGCTTTCTGCTCCTGTAAAGATATACAGCCTTAGAAACCCTCTACAGGGTCGCTATTGGTCAGAACTGACTGGACAGCACTTACCAACAATAATAACTGGTCAACGGAATCTGTGAGAAAGAAAACGAAAAATTCTAATGGGAAGAAAAAGTGTTTTAAATCTCCCTTGTTTTCAAAGAAATAAAAAGTAAGTGAAAAGGAGGAACCAGTAAATTTGAACGTTAATTTCCCTGTATTATTAACCAAGATGAGTGTGGTGGTGGTGATTATGTGCCATGGAGTTAGTTCCGACTCATAGCGACCCTGTAAAGGGTTTCCAAGACTGTCAATCTTTACGGAA